ATTGGTTCTAAGAAAGAAAAAAATAAAATAAAAATTTGGCAAGAAATCTGTTTTAGAAATATAGAAAAGGAAGAACAAGAAGAAGAAGGAGAAAGAAGAAGAAAGAAGAAAGTAATAGAGTAAGAAGCTAGTTGTACCCATGAATCTGATAAAAAAGAAAATATTTTAAGAAAGGTTAATGATAACCACTATGACAGGAAGGTTGGCGGTCATTTGAAAGTATGTTCATCTTGGATAACACATATTCTTCTATTATGCATATAAGGACTTAAGATGGAATTAAGTATTAATTGGTTGGTATAGATGTGTGTATGGACTAGATCATGATGAAGCAAAGAGAGAGCAAGATATATATATATATAGAGAGAGAGAGAGAGAGACAAACAAACAATGGAATTATGTTGATGAAAATAACAAAGAGAGGAGAAGAAGATGAAGATGAAACGTAATGAAAACTACTCATGTAAGGAGTTAACAAGAGCAGCAAGAGAATCAACTTCAAACATATGTTTTGAGTGAGTTCACGAGTAGTAATGCTACACGTATGATACGTCATGATCTGTTCCAGGGAATAAGTCACCCACATTGTGGACACTTATTATATTTCCAGCTTCAGCTCCATATTTATCAACATCCTTATTAAATGACGAATACTCCTTGTTAGACTGTCGTCTGACTAACTGTCGTCCATCCCGTTTCCTATCAACAAAAAACTGACCCTGAAAGTTCAATGATGAAAATAACAAATGAAAGAACGAAGATCCATTTAGAGTAGCAAAATAAATTCTTGGAAAAAGAATAAATTAAATAATTCATGTGCAGATTCAATAGCAGGCAATGAGAAAATAGATACAGGAGTAGGGAAAGAGGAGAATTCTGAACTACCTTGGATATCTCTAATGTTACTTCGCCCGAGCAGATGGTATTCTCCAGAATCGGTCTGAAACAACAACAACATTGCAATCAATATCATCATACACACACACTATCTTACTTCTGTTTATCAGTATTATTATTATTTAATGTGGTAGGATGACCATTACTTCTACTCACAGTCGGTGATATCAATATGCTAGTTGTGTAACTTCGTCTTTTGTCTTTCATCTTCTTTCGTTGATCATTTCTACGTGGTTTCTCTTCCGGACTACTTTGCCATGGATCCGATATGGATCCTGTCGTTATAGATGAAGGAGCACCTAAATGAAGAATATATTTCATTTCATACGGTAGGGTCTTACATTTCTCTTGGGACTTCCTTGTATTTTTGAGTAAGTCAGGAGTAGGAGGCTGAGGAATGAACATTGGCTCATCATCTACCAAACCGTCTTCTTCCTCCTCTTCGTCATCTTCGTCGTCGTGTTCATCTTCTGATTCGTTACCACCATCATCATCAATAACCTCTTTTGGAGGTTCATCGATCTGATACTTTTCAAAGAAACATCTCCAATCGTCATCTCTGTCAACTGAGAATATTCGCTGAAAATATATGAAACATTACTCTCTCAGTTAAGATTCTGATTTACATAAGCATTCTTAATTAACATTAAAACAGCAGAGTTGGTATGTTGAGCCTGCTGCAAGTAAACAGAATGATCAACTGCGGTTGAGTCAAAAGGTGGAGGCCAGATAAGGGATGGAGCTACAACTGTCGATAGATTGGAGCAACACATTAGATTACTCTCTTGGAACCTGAAGATGAAAATAGAATACAAGATATTGATATGATTATAATACCACGTAACACGATTGAGATGAAGTAAGAAGTACTTAAGAGTTTCATAGTTTTGACTTGGAAGCCTATGTATCAGACATCTCAAGTTCTCATAGCAGCTCTCATCGTTATCTAGTTTAGCCTATAATGGATATAAAAATGAAAATGAAAAGAGATAGGGATGAAGCATACCGATCCAATGCGAGCAAATTCATTATATAAATCAAAAGTGAGCAATGGCTCAGGAAGTTTTCGTAAGTATAACTTAATAACTGATGCAAGATTCATCGGATGCACATTTGATAAATCAATTTGCTCTTCTGAAGTGCAACGCTCAAAAAGTTCACAAATTTCTTCTATTTTCGATTTCACTCCACAAGTGCGATATATTCCCTGAAAATATGAATTGTCAAAATCAAAACTTAATTTTGTCGAACCTTAACACGCATTCCTCTCTTCTGAAGTTCATGAATTGTACTTTCTAGTATTAATGGTATAGACCGTTTTTGCATATCTAAATGGCCTTTGAGTGAGACTCCAAAGATACTCATTCGACGATCTGCAGATGCTCGTAATGTTTGTCCACAGCTAATCGATGTCTTAAATGTGAAGTTGAGATAGAGAGATAGAACAAAAAGTAAAATAGACCTTTGGGAAGCATGAACGATGCCATTGCTGCTGACAATCTATACATTGAACTGTGAATACTATAGATAGACGATCGCAATGAGCACATTTAGAAGGTTGAACGGTACGCTGAACGCAATGAGTATGAGCTGAATCAGATAAGTCGGTTGAATCGAACAGACGTCCAGCTGAAATGGCATTACATGAGTAGTTCATATTCATCACATATACTTATGATGTGAAAAACAATTGTTTTATGATAGCATTGAAGCTTGCTAGAAGCTTACATGAAGCTTGCTTCAACCTCATTGAAAGATGATATGAAAGAGTATTTTTATGATTTTTCACTTATTATTTATGTATAATAATAAAAAAAGTAATAAAAAAATATAATATAAGGCATACCAGTGCTTGTTTTCTTATGTCGCTTGGTGTCTGGTATGGTGCCTTCGTCATCAGGGTTTAAAGCATTTCGTCGTAATGAAGCTACAGAAGATCCATCACAAGATACTCCTTCGTCTACACTACGATCCGATCTGAATGAAATGAAAAGCTTATTTAGAAGGATAACAATCAATAGGAATGGAATGCAAACGCTCTATACGAGATGTGTTGTTGTTATTTGAGGTGGTGGTGGTGGTTTGATAGAACAATTGAAATCATTAGATGAGGTAGAATTACCTAAGTAATGAGTTTGTTGAAGCGGCCCGGTCAGGCAAGTGTTGCAGAAAGGTCATATATGCACTTCCGGGCTCAAACTCGCGAGTTGCATCCGATAATTGTTGATAGCTCCCCGGCAGTTTGACCCATAAAGCTGCTAGCGACTGAAAGTTGTAAGCTTAAAAATGGATTTATGAAATGAATACACGGAAACATTGAAATCACTTTCTCTCTCTCTCTCTCTCTCACTCTCTCTCTCTCTATACGAAGTGAAGTTTTCAAGAGTTCAAGTAAAAGTAATGCATATTCGATGAATACAATCCATTGGCCAAACGAAACACCAAAAAAGGATGTAAACGAATCAGAGTTGTCTTCTATGTATCAGAAATTAGCTTGATGTGAAGAAGTAGAAGAAGGAGTATAAATGAAAGTTGACAAAGAATAAAAATGAATTTGAACCCTTCAGAATAATTCTGAGAATTAAGCATAGTATAGGAACATACTAAACTTGAAAGCGTGTAATTGTCATTATTGAAAAGTTTATTGGTTCAAAGCGCCATAGTTGAGTTGACTAAGCTAGAAGGGGGTATGAATGAGTGGATGTGAAATAGGAATGAGAGAAAGGGACGAGTCAGAAAGAAATAAGTATTACTAGATCATATAATAAAATGAGAGAGAGACTCACAAAAACTAGCAGTAACGATGAATAGATAAAAGAGAATCAGGCAAAAAATAGAAATAAAGTAAGAAGAGAAAGGCTTGATTCAGTATACGTGGTGGTGGTGGCTGCCTCAAAATATTTGGTTGCCTCGCAATAGCTACAGCAATCTCTTCGTGGTATATGATGACACACACACACACACATGCACACATGCACACATACCCAACCTCACATCCACACACACACACACACACATAGAGAAGCTCGATTAGGTTGCCTCGCCATAGCTACAGCAATCTCTTCGTGGTATATGATGATACCACACACACAGACACACACTCGCACACAGGCACACATACCCAACCTCACATCCACACACCCATAGAGAAGTTCTATTAGGTTGCAGCGCTGCTGTTCGATAGAGCAAAAAGGTTGGAAATCAGTTGAACTCTACGTGTATTCATCACTCAAATGAATAATGAAAGAAACCAAATATAATTATGGAAGTTCTAAGTCGAATGATTGAACATCAACGCATATACAATAGAGCACCAAGTATAGACGTAGAAGCAGAGCAACTTTCGTGTTCCAGGAATGTGTAAGATGAATGATGGAACACGCTAAGCATTGAAGAAGCGAAGGTGAACGCACTTTCAAAATAGAAATGAGAGAAGCATCAGGAAATGAAATATTCTTTTGATAATCTGATATTCACTTCCTCACACACATACACACATCTAGTCAGACACATCCACACAGATATACACATGCACACACACACACACACATACACAGACACACCTCGCCCACATAGTAAAAGGATTGTGATGGATGATAAGTTAAACATTCAAAGCATAAATTAAATTGTTGCCAAGGATGGATTGTTGTCTATGTTGAGTACAAAATGCTTGGAACCATTCGCACTAATTGAAGAGTGCATTCCTAATTTAAAAGAAATAAATTTGTTCCAAAAAATATTTCGAAAATGACAAAACGAACATGAAAAGCTAGATCTCTCTATACTTGAAGATGATGCAAAGAAGAGCAGACAGAGAGGGAGATAGAAAGAGATAAAGAGAGAGAGAAAGACTGATAGATAGAGAGGGAGACAGTTGTGAAGATGTGTGATTCTAATGCAATCATCATCATTATCTTTACGTGTAACTGATATGTTACAGTTGAATGTGTGATGATGAACACTTCTATTTATCATAAACATGTTTTCCATCATCAGCTTTTCTTCTAGCTTCTTCCTCACTTTTTCATTGTGCTTATTAGACTTGAATGAAAACATTTTGGGTGCTTGGGGGGAAAGGGAGAGAAGACGAGAGAGAAGGAGAGGGAAGATAGAGATGAAGCTCTAAACACAACTATTTTCTCATCTAAATTGTGTTGGTGAACTTTGAATTTGATTTAATTCTTCAATTAAAAAGAGCCAACGAAGGAGAGAGAGAGAGGAGAGAATAGAAATGACTCTCGGATACTAAAGAAGTAGATTATATCTTTGAAACGCATGAAACATTTAGAATGCATACTTTCTAGTCAGATGATGTGCACGTGCATCCTAAAAGGCAGAACGCCGAAGCTGTTTCAAAGAAAAGAATGAACAACGCAAAAGTGGTTACGGACAGAACATATCTCGTGATGACCACATATGACTCAAATGGAAATATTTCAAAAATAATTTTCTTTCTTCTTTCACAACTTTTCTAATTGGCTAAAGTATGTTAAGCTATAACATCCATAGTTGGACATATAAGAACAGAGAACAAGCTCGTACTCATATCTCGTCCATAGTCTTAATCAAAGAGATTGTTAGAGATAGAGAGAGAGAGAGAGTCAAAGAGAGAAAGAGAGAGAGAGAGTATGACCATAAGACAGTGGCATAAGTCATTGAGAGACATTGAGATTGCCATTTATCAGCTTTTATGTAGTATCACAAGTAATGAGCTATGAAAAATAAGGAGCTTATCGTAAGATAGGGTCATAAAATGGTTCAAAAACTGAAGCCATTCATTTCGAATCCAAAAATTGAATTGGAAAGAGCAGTAAGGGCCTCTGAAGACTATGCTACTGAATAGAAATTCAAACACAAAACTACACAAACAAATTCAATAAGATAACATCCTTATTAAACGTGCGTGGAGAGACACACACAACATGAAACAGATGGAGACATGAGTAGGAGATGAATCTTAAATCTCTTATAGGAAGAAATCAACTGAACAAAACATGATTTGTAAGGCATTCGCAACTTCCTCCCTCCCTCTCCTTACTCCCTCACACCAAATGGGTAATAGAGAGAAAGAGAGAGAGAGAGAGTTGTTAAAATCTAAAATCAGTGAACTGGAAAAGAACAGTCAGTGTATACGGGGAGTTCAACAACAGCTCGACAACGATAAAAACAAAGTGGTCATGCTTTGTCAAATATCAGTTTTCAAAACATGAAAAATAGAGGAAGAAGAGAAAAAAAATGAATTGGAACTCTCCTTCAATCGAATGGAATTGAAGAGATGAGACGAGACGAGACACACATACACACAGTGCAAAATGGACAAAAGAAGAAAAAGAAGATGACCATACTGAGAAGCAGAAAAACGAGAGGTTAGTTGGCATTCTGACATGTTATTGTGAGAGAAGTTGATCGATTTGCAAAAATGTATTCTCTGTATGACCATTGATGGAAGTAGATTCACGTCATGATGCTTGATGCTTCTCATCTCCCCCCTCTCTCCCCTCCTACAGATGATGTTAACGAATGAGATTCATCATATGAGAAGCATGTAATGGTTGAACAATTCACCTTAGTCATAAAAATGTCAAATTATCAATAAAATTTGATTCATTATTACAAGAATGAAATGGACCATTACCATAAATGGCAAATGGAACGCCTAATTTGGCGTGATTATCATTTGTCTTGCCGAAGATCGGTGAGTAAGAAAGGCAATTTGGGTTTTGAAGGAAGCAATCCATAGTCTTGAAATGCTTGTTACAAACCTTCTTCCAACCATTACCATTACTTAACACTTCTCTTTAAAATTTTTTCATTTACAATTATCAAAAGCCCAATGTGTGCTTCTCTCTCTCTCTCTTGTCTCCTCTTTACAAGACAAGAAATCAGATGACAGAAGACAGACACAGGCAGAAGGCGCAACGAAAGCAAAACTTCTTCGCCTTCTTTGCTCGTTTATGTCTCTTTACAAAGAGATTTGCAAAAAAAAAAGAAAATCAAATAAAAATTCAACTTCAGACTACAAACAGGAAGAGAAGTATCATGAATTCGAAAGTTATTTCGTTAACTAGGCGATGTGCATTTGAGCGATTAAAATGCATTTTCTGAACAATATAACTACTCGGATAAATCCAAAATAGAAGTATCATTATGGAAATAGACAGGGAGAGAGAGATATATAGAGAGAGAGAGGGAGCAAAAGGGTAACAGAGAGATAGAATGATAGAGAGGAAGAGGGCAAGATTCGATTTTCAATTGTGACTCGTTGAAGAGATATAACTGATAAGATTCGCAAAGCATGAATCAATTATAAATCTGGGCTTCTTCTAAGATTCAGAAGAACAATGCTGAATTGAAGGAAAAGAAAGAACAAAAGGACACACTTATATGGAAGAATTGAATTTGCGGAGGTCGCGTAGTACGGAAATAACAATGAATTGTAAAAGCTGTGTATCATCGAGAAAGAATTTCTTCAGTCTCTATAACTCACAGAGAGAGAGATAGAGAGAGAGAGAGAGAGAGAAAGATAACTTATATTTATAATATATGAGCTTCCTTGTGACAACACCTTATGAGAAGGGTCAAAGGTATACTTCTCCTTAAGGTATGGTAGGGAGGGGTTGGAGGAAGAATGAACTTGGGAACAAGCTTAACGCCATAACCACCGAAGTAATATGAATGTTCCGGAAAAAAATAAAATAAACTAGAACTCGTATTATCGGATTTATAGTTCATTGCTAAATGGAATAAGCGCTCAGAGTTTGAGTTACACGCAATCACCAAACTTCCAACTTGATACATACAGAAGTAATAAGGCTGATTAAGCAGAAGCTGATAGAGATGAAGCCGGATGAAGGATGAGCATTCATAGATGGTGGTGGGGGGGAGAGTAGAAGCCAAGAATGAAACAGTTAAATTGTAATTAAGCATCATTAAGGATATCAAGTTGTTTTCAACAGATAATCACAACAATACTCGTCAGAGGATAGAATGCGTTCATTTAGGAGGAAAATAAAACAGCTTCAAACCCAAGAAATATGACGTCATACTGACGCAGCAACCGACAAAGCGAATCAACTTCATGAGATAGGCAATGCAGAAAAGAAGATGAGAAAAGGAGCAAAGGGAATTTGGAGATAGAGCAGAAGGAAGGGAAAACTCAAATAGGAGTATGTGTTTGAAAGGCATATAGAAGAATAACGACTAGTGATGACACATGAATAATTCGTTCCCGGTGGGCAGTGGGAAGATTTTTGTTTGAAAAAAAAAACGAAGGAGAAGGAGAAGATGAAGAATAGAAAGAGACGCTGTAGGAGGAGCAGAGAGAGAGAGATGATTGTTTAAGGATATATCATTAGATCTGAGCTTCTTTATTATTCTGCATATCATACGTTGTCTCTCTCAGACACTAAAACAACAAATGACCACTTGGATATCTCATATCCATATTAATCTAGAAAAGCAGAAGAAATTGAATGGTCAATGAACAGCAGCAACAGCAGCAGCAGTAGCAGAAGCAGAAGAAGCAGCACTAGCAGCAACAGCAGCTAGTCAGACAATTCAGGAGAGTGATGACAGAAAATTCTCAAGCGGAAGTTCAAGTTAAAACAGGAAGGTTAGAAATACTGAGAGAAGAAAAAGGAAATATGAGAAAAACTTTCTTGACGGATATCAATACGTGAATGAGAAAGTGCTCATTTATGCGCGAAAGAAAGAAGTCATACTTAGAGGTGAAGTATAAGATATGAAGACGAAGATGAACAACGACGACGACGACCAATTTGGAGGAGAAGAAAAAAAAAGAAAAAATATAAGAAAGAAGAAGAAGCATAAAGCTAGTATTAGCTGATGATTCAGTTTCTGAAAAGACCGAGTTCCGGAAGTAGCGTTGAAACACAGGAAGACAAGACGATGAAAGGCAACTCAGTCAGTTTTGACAAGAAGAAGGAGAAGAAGAAGAAGAAAAAAAATGTACAAAACGTCAAGTTGTAGAACGTACACACACACACAGACACACACGCATACACATGTTATAGATGTAAGCAGTGTGAGGTCAGGCAACGTACATACATCCATAAATGGAAATAATATGAACATGAAAACATTCGGAAAAAACAGATGAAAATATGCAACAGTATTTCGTTCAAAAAGTGATTCAAAATATGCATATATGAATAATAAAGTTATTCTATTAACTATATATGTATAGTTAGTAGAAAAAAAGATTGACATATGAGGTATAAGGTAGGATGAGATGAGAAGGTGAGAGGAAGAGAAGAAGGACTATGCTCATCAGACTCACTGATTGATAGAGGATATAGATGATATTTGAATATGATTAGATGAAAGCATTGAATAACTACAAATAGCTTTAAATGAATGTTTGAATCAATGTTAAGCTGATTAACTGTTTCAAAACGGTTAGATGTTTCAAACATTCAAACTAATATTAGCATGAAGCCAAGCTTATATACTGATTGTGTTTCAAATTATGGCAAAAAGCCAGTTTAGTTGTCAACACAGATAATGATTTGACAACAATTGAACGATTTGTAAATCATCTGTTTCACTCTTACGTGACATGTTAGCATAGACTCATTGGAATGAATGGGAATAGGAATAGTAGAATACAAATAGAATAGAGAAGAAGACCATATGTACGTACCTTGAAGTAATGAGAAGTGCACGCTTTGGTGGTTTGATCGCACTGGAAGATGAGCTCACGCAGCTTTTCGATAATCCTTTCCTAAAAAGAAAAAAATATATATAAAATGCAGGCAAATATCTTAAGCAAAAAGATATATTTTATAATCAAAAGCCTAAATGAGGATTTGTGCCGTAAATTCTGTTTATCTATCCTTTTTCAAAGACACAAGAAGAATAAAACGTGAAAAGCAAGAGAATGCACATTGATGGTGCTGTTCTTGACATCACACACATCCACATCCACATCCACAACTGGACGATAGAATCAGATGAGATGAATGAAAACTACCTTCAAACAACATATGTGAAGAAGACGTTAGAGTAGAAGAAGGAAAAGCTGAATATGGAAAGAGAAAGAGAGAGAGAAAGAGAGAGGGGGTAACATTGAGAAATTGGATAATCTCATATGAGCTTGTAAGCCTTAAAAAGAAAAAAAAACCACAATATGCATATATGTATGGCTGGGTGCTGTGAATTAGGCTTTAGGACACAAACGCATTAGTATAACATGACAGCTATTCTTCATCAAAAATAAATGTGTTTTATGCATCAAAAACAGGTATCTTCAGAATGGACATTTTCTAAGCTTCTGACGATGGAAGACATGAAGAAGCTGAGAAGGTTGATCATGTTGATGATGATGATGACGAGAGTAAAGTTCAGCTTCTTCTATGATAATTGCTGATCCTAGTTCATTAGCTCAACAATAAGATACTTGCAATGCAAAGCGTAATGCAATGACAGAGGTTCTCACTTTTGACAAGATGAATAGTTTCGCGTCTGATGTTGGAAACAAAAGAAAAACAGAAGCACATTCTATGCTTCAGCCCCAAACGAAGATGTTCCAATCGCAAAAGCACAATCTCGGGTTTTCATACCAAATTCAATAGAAGCTCTTTTGGATCGACGTCTCCATCGCTTTGAAGCACTTTGTCGCATAACGCTAGTGGTGAGCAAGCTTTCGCTAGTATCCTGATGCTTGACAGAGAGACAGAATAATCAACTTAACAAAGTTTTTGGATGTTGCTTACGCGCTTTTATTTTCTTCCAATATAACTTCTTAACGCAGCTAGTTCTTTCGTCGTTTTTTTTCAGTTTCACGAGAAAGAAACTAACACGATTGTGCATCTTTTCTATTTGTATTAAAGACCAGAGAATATAAAAGAAAACAAAAAAAGAGATTTCAATCGACATGCTCACCCAACAGAGCATTTCTCACATGATGCATACACGGTAAGGAAGCGATGTTTCATCGTCTTCTACAAATTCTCCTTAACGATACAATCACTGCGTGAGATGAAGATGATGAAGTTGTGAACTCTGTTAGCTTTAACACAACGATGCTCTACTCTCTCTCTTTCTCTCTTTCTCGATCTCTCTCTCTCTCTCTATCTCCCTCTCAGTCATACGTATAGCAGCGAGGGTATGAAGTTTCGTTAAAAACCTAAGGAGCGAAGGAGCGAAATGTTAATTTCCTCAACAAAAAGCTGCAAAAATTTCGAAAATTTTGTTTTCGCGCTCTACCAGTAAAAATAAAATAAGCCGCCAAAGCTAAATATGAGAGTAAAGAAAAGGAAAAAGAAGGAAAGGGGCAAAGAAGATCGAGAGGGCAAAGCAACAAGCTAAACGACAACAAAAGATAAAGCTTGAAATGTTTACATTTCATGAAAAAACTAGGAAAATCATAGCTGCTTCCGTTGCTCAATATGGATATGTAAGCTTAGAGATGTTACCTTTCCAATGAGGAAGCTTATCATTGCGCATCTATTCAATCAAAATGTTACCAACCTTTGTTACTTCCATTTCTTTTCTTTTGCGTCTAAGCTCGGATGCTAGTATGCTCATCTGTTTCTCAGCTTCTTCTCTCTGAATTAAATTGTTGTCAGTGAATCAAACAAGTAGTAGAGAGAGAAAAGGGGAATATAAAATGGAAAAAAAAGAAATTTGAGTAAGAACGTTACCTTGGCAATAGCATCCTCTTCGGATCTCTTCTTCTTATCCATTTCTCGCCGACGTCGAAGCATGTCATTTGTCGTTACACCAATTGATTCTGTTCGCATACATTGCTCTCTAGCTTTCCTTAAATTCTCTTCACGAATTTTCAAATTACTCCTGCTTTTTTCAAAAGCTTCTTCACAATCATGCTGCAATTGTAATTAAAGCTCCAAATGCTTCATCTAAGCTTCATCCTTACAACAACTTTGATGATCTTGCTCCATTCAACTTTAAGATTACTTCGCACAAGCTCATGTTCCTTCCGACGTGTTTCTAATGCCTATATAATTAATATAATTAATATAATAAAGTATGATGAGACTTACTTCAACTACTCTATCCTTTAACGTATCAACAGTCTCTCGTGTTCGTGCCATTAAGCTTGTTTCACAATCGAAACTATCTTCCCACACCTCACGTAATCCAAGCCATGGCTAAAACATATAATTATTAATATGTTTTTATATATATTAATATGTGAATACACCAATCTCGTTAGCGTATTTAAGTGAAAATGATGACAAAACAACTTTCTAAACGTTTGCTCCAGAAATTTGCATAAACGAAATGATATGCTAATGAGATATGACGTGCACTTACGAGACGTGGAAAGAATGTAAACAAGCAATAAATCATTTTTTTGAAAATCATTTTCTTTTGGCTACAAATCTCAATCAAAATCATAATGTTGACTAACCTTTCCAATATCACGTCGGCTGGCATCTACCAAAGAGAAAACTCTTCGAGCATGATCTTGCTCCAGTTGTAACCTTGCTCGGATATACGCTAGCAGATCTTTGCAATACCTAATTATATACATAAAATTAACATATCACGTTGTTCACAACTCACGTGCTCCAAGCTTTTGTTCGTTCAAATGCAATATCGAGTCCGTCTTCACGTGAGATCAGAACTTTGTCAATTTCCATTATATGGACTGAGGGCTGTACATGAACATCATCTAGAACAACAACATGATTATAATCAAATGAAAAGCCATTCCAATACCATTGGCATCATTATCCGTATGATACGCTGAATGTCGACGTTGTAGCGTTTTGGATTTTGAAGAAGAGTAAACTTCTGAGGAAGACTGAAAATGAATGATTCTTAAAAAGTATTTTTGATAATCTCTGAAGATTTCATTTAGGCTATCCCCTCTGTTTCTCAGATTCATCTCTCAAAGCCATATGGTTTTCATTTTTGAGAATAAAAAAAAAGAAAAAAAAAGAAAAAGCAATCTGCAAGTTCATGTGCAGAGAGTTCCCTCGATTTCCTAAATAACTGCATCAGTTGTTTGTAAGAAGAACTAAAGACAAAGTAAATCTTGAAATTGTACAGAATTAGCTTGATTGACATTCTTCTTCTTCCAGTATGAAGCTCATAGAGATGAAGCAGAAGAAGAAGAAGAAGAAGACGATGAGGAACAGAGGCTATGAAGCTATTAACCTGTCTTCCGTAATTCTATATGCCTTTGAGACATTAATGGTCAAAGCTTAACAATTAAGCTGATCAAGTCATAGAGTTGGATCATTAGAATACCAATGAACCTTGTATTTGCTCCATTAGTATCAGTTACTTTTAATGTGAAACCATTAAAACTGAATCAATAGCTCATAAAATGAACATCTTGGATTGACGTATGCAATTCAAGCAGTTCCATCTTTGATCCATAAGAGATGAAAAAGCCTTACAAGGCTAATATAACATAACTCTAATTGAAAAAATAGATTCGTATGAGACGATATTCAGCATACGAAATTAGCAATAACGTTCATTCAGCTCAATAAAGCCGATGGAGAAGAGAGTTCACTCACGAATGAAGACCATCTCTGACGAACTTTCCGCAACCGCCGAACTGCTGCCATTACCACATCAAATGAATAACTCTAATAACACATATAGTTAGCATAAGATAGTATATACGAATGAGTGGAAGAACAATCGTTCAAGATACTACTACTATCTTTCTGTTAATTAAGTTTGAAAGTAAAGAAGCCGACTAGAGGTGACTGAGGAAGGAGAAGGAAAGTTTTTTTTTCCTGGAAAAAAATGAGAGAGAGAGAGGGGGGGGAGTATGGCAATGCTATAAACAAATAGGTTGGAAAACATTATTGACAACAAGCTATCTTTGGGATGTTAGGTGAAGTTGAAGCACGTAAGAAAAATGATCGGGATGGAGAAGATGATTTGAATTTCAAGCAAAATGAAACTTAAAATAGACTTGGATGTATGGAGCGATAGCGTCAAGGCACAAACGAATTAAGCTTAAAACTAAGGAAAGAAGAAGTTTGGATAGTGATGGCGTGAGTAAAGTAAATCATATTTCATATCTAAAGTAACAATACTCTAAACATAATCAGATCTTCAATAAGAACTTTGATTCCTGACATGAAAAACATGAGCGATGAGCATAGAAGCAAACTTCTCCAACTAAGGCATTCAAAGATTGAATCAAGGAAAACACTTTGGCAAGTACTACACCAAAATTAGGAGTTGAAAAATGAAGGGGAAAAGCTTGACAAATATGAAGAAACTGAAACATAAGCAGCAGATAGTCGCTAACGACCATCTTCTCTCTCTCTTTTGCTGTTCACGTTTTTCACATCAGACAGCCTGGATAGCCATTATCAACGAAAAATCAAAAACGTGAATGCACTTTGCATTTACGAAATAAAAACTTAGCACAACTAACGAGTAGTAGTAAGAAGAGGAGGAGAAGAAGAAGACGTAGAAGACGAAGAAGAAGAAGAAGATGGATAACAGGAAGCAGGAGCATTATTTTAATTTGCTAACTTATATGTAACAATCTTGTGAGTTGTTTGACCCCTTAACTATCCATGAAGGAATTCTATGTATTTTAACAAGTGTTCCTAGAAAGACGGTCAAAGAAGAAACAAAAAAACTGATGATTACGAGGTCAGATGAAAAGGTGAAGAGAGAGAGAGAGAGAGGTGGTAAGAGGTGAAGCGGGTGGGGGGGGAGAATGATTAGACAGTTATCAATAGACCGAAATTGGAGATACATATGATATATACGGGTGGAATGACAAAAAAAGGTTGGGATGGGAGAGAGAAAACGAAAAAAAGTGAGAAAAGCCATGTCTGCTTTCTATTTCAGTGTGTTCAACTGAAAAAGGAAAACGAAATTTGCAGGTTCGAGCATTGACCTAAGTTAATTAAATAACATTTCCTTCAAAACACGCTAAGCAAATGAGAATAAAACGAAAAAAAAAGTAATGTTGGATACAAGTATCAGGCTCATTACTCTGCGAACTTGAACCTATGCTGATGGCCATTATCGAGTCGTCTTCTTGTGACGAAGAGAACGACAACGACGATTAGAGAGTTCTTCCCCCACATCCATCCATCCCCCCCCCCTCCATAGCTGCTGCAGCATAAGCGACAAATAGATATATTCTTTGCTTTTGTAATAATTATGAAACAAAAGATCAAGAACATTGTGCAAAAGAAACAAATTAGTTTGAAAATTCTATTCTTCCAGCCACTCCTCCATGTAGAAGCTGCCTAGAAGAGCTGAAGGAACATCCAAACAATGCATCTAATAGAATACATTCCATCCCGAATGTGTACATTAAGCATCTCCCCCCCCCCCCCCCCCCCCC